ACAGGTCTATCATTTCCCCTTCATTTTGACTTGTTTCTCTTGTCTTTTGACCAAAAATTCCATCACCCCAATGGAATACTTCACAGTTTCCTTCTTTCGGAAACGACCCAAATGAGAGGGGAAAGAGGTATTATTACAATGTTGATATTTATCATTATTTTTACTCTTTATTTATTATTAAGTGATATAATGAATTTAATTAAATGGTTATATTAAAGTGGTTAATAAAATTTGATTACTGTTGTATTGGTTAATATTGATCTAAGGTATTTGAGTCCAAACCTTATGTAGATTATGGGTTATCAGCTAGTATTGTAGCAAACTCTGTCAAATTCGAAGAGTTAATGTAACTGTCGAAATATGTTAGCTTAATGTTTAAGTTAGTATGTAGAACTGGGTCATCCTGTTGGGCCTATTGTTTATTATGTTAGTTGAAAACTAGAGTTTAATTTTCTTATAAATAAAATACTAGTCGTCATTTCTCCAATCAATCCTTGATAATCTTGATCAGAGGGAGAAAATGTTTTCGTTGAGATTCAATTGTAAACATTGTTCCCTAATGTATAATTAAATCAAGGATCCAAGGTTTTAAACCACTTTGAATTGTCTTTCTCTTTCTTCTTTCTTTTTCGTTACTTTGTGGTTTTCTTATTGATCAAGAAACGAATCATACTTTGTTTTCTAGGCACCACTTTTACAATAAATTGGTGTGGTGACCAGGGAGGAAAGGATGTCGTCAACAAAGTATGAGGTTGATAAATTCACTAGTGTGAATGAATTCAGTTTATAGCGCTTGAAAATGCAAGCCCTACTGGTTTAATAGGGTTTGTTAAAAGTGTTGAAAGGATTAGAGAAGATGGATGTTTCCCTAACGAAGAAGGAGAAGAGGACGATGATCGATAAAGCCTGCAATGCCATCATATTGAGCCTTGGTGATAAGATTCTCTAACATGTCTCGAAAGATAAAACGACAACAGGTGTATGAAGCAAACTGGAGGGTTTGTATATGACCAAATCCATGCTCAATCGTCTTTATCTTAAGCAAGCTTTGTATTCATTCAAGATGAGTGAAGGAAAAGTCTTAACTGAGTTCAACAAATTGATTCTTGATCTTAACAATATTGAGGCCAATATTGATGATGAAGATCAAGCATTGTTGTTGTTGTATGCATTACCAAGATCTCATGCTCACTTCAAAGAACCCCTTTCGTATGGAAGAAATTCCTTGAACTTTCAAGAAGTTCAATCAGCCTTGTATTCGAAGGACTTGAACGAAAGAAAAAACAAAAAGCCATCACTTGTTGGAGAAGGTTTGTCCGTCAAAGAAAATTTCTCAAAGAAAGATGGTTTATTTGAGAATAAGAAGGGTAAAGTTCTACATAATTCTTATGATGGTAATGCTCCTGCAATTAGGTGTTATCATTGTAAGAAGGAGGGTCATACATGAAAGGTGTGCCCTGAATGTCTGAATAATCATGTTGGAAAGGCTACTGGTAATGCAACCATTGTGCAATATGATTATTAATCATATGATGTCCTGGTGGTTTCAAGTAGCAACTCTAGCAAGGAGTGGATTATGGATTCAAGTTGTACTTAACACATGAATCTAAACAAGAACGTGTTTGAGGAATTATGTAATCAAGATGGTGAATCACTGATGTTGGGAAATAATAGAGCCTGCAGGATTGTAATAATTGAGGTTTTCAGATTCAAGCTCCATGATGAGTTAAAAAGGTTATTGGTTGATGTCAGTTATGTACCTAATCTTAAGAGGAATTTGACTTCTCTTGGTGAATTTGACGAGAAAAGAAAATGTTTTCAAAGGAGAGGAAATTATCCTAAGGGTAATGAAAGGGTCGAAGGAAGTCTTGAGAGGCATCAAGAGGCAATGCCTGTATACCCTTGAGACTAAGGTTGTAAGTGGTTCAACAAATTTGGCATCCATAAAACCTATGTTGAAGATGAGTTATGGCATAAGACACACGACCATTCACTAAAAAAGACCTAGTCAAATTGTCGAAACAAAATCTGCTATATGGTTAATTCACTGAAAGAGACCTTGTGAATTTGCTAAATCCTACAGGGTGAAGTTTAACAAAGATAAACAAAGAACAAATGGATCCCTTGATTATATCCATGTTGATCTTTGGGGGTCTGCACAAAATCCTCAACACTCAGGTGCAAGATATTTTATTTTCATAGTTGATGATTACTCACACAACACTCAAGTGTTTAGGTTCCCTAAAAGCCACAATGATGACACTTACGAAAAGGGTGCAATATTAACTCTTCAAAAACTATACTTTAGCATGTAAAAGGCTCTATAAAACATGTCAAATCACTCGCACGCAACATTTAAGTGTTTCGGTTCCCCAAGACTCGCAATGACGATACTTACAAAAACATGTTTGAAGTATTGGATCATTAAATGAATGAATCCCTAAGAAATTGAAACATTTATTTTTTGCTCGTCCGAAGATGATCTATGGAGTGGTCGGAATCCAAGGTTGATGTAACAAACCATCACCTTGATACACATAGGCAATGGCTTGAGGGCAACTGTTATGGTCCAACCATATCAACCCTGGCCGACCACCATGAAAAAACCACCCTCATTCAAGAATCTTATTAGCACACAAGGATTATCATCGCGATGATGACAAAGGATATCAATTGCAAGTGCATCCAACGACTCTTCGCAAGTATCAATTGTTAAAATAAGTCGAGAAGCGGTAGTAATGGCGGATCAAAGCTTAAGGTGCGATGGAGAGGGGGGACTTGCATGGTTAGCACTCCAACACTTAAGTCAATATTTAAGGGGGGGAGTGAAGCTAAACTGAATTTGTAAGGGGGCTAGCTAGGTTGTACCGGTTCTTAATGTTATTAACACTATTTAAATAAATATCAAACATCTTGGTATTCTGCCTAACAAATCATACCTTGCCCCTAAGAGGAATTAACATAACTTCGTTGAGTTTTGAAGAGGTGGAAGAAAAGTGTTATAAATAACACACATTTCTTGTATTCCACTAGTACTGGAAGACATTGATATAAGCCTAACTCACATAGTACAAATGTGAAGGAGAAATTACTAGATGATTTAGAATTCCCACCTCAAAGTCGTTAAAGGATAGGAAAAATTCTATTAAAGAAAACAAGCATTCATGGAGAAGGATGACACACACATCACAATTGTTTCAAATACTTTTATCTACTTCGGGAGAAAGCACTCCCCAGTCAGAGGATGGACCTACTCCAATAAATGCATGGTCAAAACTACCCTAATCGGCGAAGGAAAAAATGATATATAATGTCTTTTGAACCACCTAATGGCAGAGTTATCTCTTGCCACATTTTAGACTTTGTGCTAAGAGTTGTCCATGTCAAAATAGGTTGCTAATACATAAAAGAAATGACTGTAAGTAAAAGTACATGTTCGATGTAAAGACAACCTTTGCCCCCCACCAAAGTTCATATATAGTGAGAAAATTTTCCAAAGAGCGAAACGTAAAAGATTAAAATCCCTATTTAGAAATCCTAATAAAATAAGCATGTGTGAAAAGGAAAGAAAGGTTCAGGTTTAGGTATTACCCTAAAAAAGAACTTAGTGACCCATACGTTGTATGCTTCGCCATAAGAGATGTCATAAGTATGTTGAAATAATAGCTGGTGGAAGGAGATTGGCGAAGACAAAGGAGGTTGCAGACGCGTGAGAAGAGCTCTTAAAGATTCACAAATGACAACAAAGGGAACATGCTAACTCTGAAACTTCTTATATACCTCCATAGGAAGATGAACAATGTAATCATTAGCATTGGGAAACACAAACCACACCACCATTGGTCTAGATTTCACCACAATTTTTTTGAAGGCACTCAAATTCCATATTACTAGAAGGAATAATTAATATTAGACATATGGACATGCGTTGAAATGTGTCTGCGAGATGTTGCTAATCACGAAGGAGACATTTAATGCACCTCTTCCCAATGACAACAACATCTCATCAAGACATTTCTATTTTATTCTGCTAGAGGCCAGATCAAAGACAAACCTGAAAAATCACTTGTTTTACGATGTGAGAATAAGAGTTTGGGGCAATTGTTCTGGGTTGTCCACCATGCCCATGAAGAAGGCCTAATAACGAGTGTTGGAGAAGAAAGCACACAGAACATGTGAACCCTTGCCACTCGATGATACATGATAAAACCTTTCATTACATCTCTCCCCGTTGGATTTAATCTAACAATAACCTACATAAGACGTCGAATCACATACATACGGTTTTAACTACCCATACCATATAAAGATCATTTCGTGCCATTTTAAGTATTCAACCCATTCCCACTTTGAATGTATTTTTACGCACTCATTGACTTGGACATTGAAGTGTTAACCTTACCGCTCCACCCCCAATCCACCACATCAAAAGACTAATTCTTCAAATCTAAACTCTATTCCATAACTTCATCACCTATATCTAGTTTTAGATCGAAACACACTTGAAAATGTATTTGTAATTTATCTATCTATCTATCTATCTATCTATCTATCTATCTATCTATCTATCTATCTATATATATATATATATATATATATATATATATATATATATATATATATATATATATATATATATATATATATATATATATATATATATATATATATATATATATATATATATATATATATATATATATATATATATATTACATTTTCTTTATTATTATATAATTATAAAAAATTAGATAAGAAATCAATCACAAAAATAGTTTTAATGTATATTTATATTTTTAACATAAAATAAAATATATTGAATATTATAAATTTTTGTTTCAATTTTAACCCAAGCAAAATAAAAATATCCCATTAATTAATTCAACAACTTTAGAAGCAAATAAAATAAAAATATCCCATTAATTAATTCAACAACTTTAGAAGCAAATAAAATAAGCGCCAGTGTTTTATGTTATCCAAAAACTATTTGACAGTTAAAGATGGTGCTACAAGCGAAGACTAGTTTAGCACTAACATACTCGCCGCATTTTCCATCATCCTCTTCTCACCCCCCTCCTCAAATCTTCAACTTCAAACTCAAACCCTCACCTCTCTCACTCACTCTCAGGCGCCGCCGAATACCACCCACAGTGGCATCCGCCGTCGAGGAAAAAAATCAGCCTAGCTCCAAACCCGAACCCGAACCGGAATCCGAACCCGAACCAGACTCCAATGAGTCCGATTTAGCATCGGAATTGAAGAAAGCGATGCAAGAGAGAAAGGAGAAAGAAGGCGATAATTTCTGGAACGGAGTTGTTAACGAGATCGGTGAAATTGAGTGGCCTGAGTTTGGGAAGGTTTTGGGAACAACCGGTGTTGTTCTTAGTGTTATCTTTGGTTCTAGCGTTGTTTTGCTCACTGTTAATGCTGTTTTAGCTGAGCTTTCTGATAAGGTTTTTGCAGGCAAAGGGATTCAGGATTTCTTCACCTGAATTGCTTCACACTTTTTGACTGTAAATTTTTTAATTTATCAAGAATTTTTATGTATTTGGTAGTTTCAACTGTTTTTTTGTTGTCTTTTCTATTAATAATTGATTTTTTTTTCTTTCATTACTCCTGTTGTTCTAAATTTCATTTGGTTATATTGTGAAAATTTTATATTGCGGAAAAAATGCAGGCAAATGTGGCTGTAATTGAGATTGTGAAATCAATAGAAAGGAAAAAATCGGGTAATACTGGCTACTATATTAGATATTTGGTTTTAGACTTTAGTTGATAAAAATAGATGTTTGAATTGAACCACAGTCACACAGTTGTAATTGTTTCGATACATGGTATAAATTCGGGTAGGCGGTGCGGATCTCTCAAAAAATTAGATGCGGGAGAGGATATATAGTTGGTACGTTATTTAGGTTTGTGGTATGTTCAGATATAGTTTAAATTATTATTATTTTTACTTTCTGCAATGGTTTGGGAGTTATTGGGGCATGCCCACCTTAGTTGCTTTAACTCGAAATGAATTAGTTTAATATTTTTTTAACTTACTGCAATGGTATGCAATGGTATGATGATATTTATGCTTATGTAAATTTATGGAGAATTGTCATGAACCGGTTCAGAAAAGTATTGTGAAACGATATCAGCAAACCAATTTGTGATTCTCAAAGGGATCCAATGAATTATGTGACTATGGGTTGAACACTGGAACAAGAATTTGGTTTCTCTGCAATGAGATAAAGTAAAGCGCACATTCACATTGGGGGTAAGTCGAATTGATGAAGTTGTGTATCTCAGTTGTTCATTGCATATTAGTTGGAATCAGATGACTTGTATTTCAAGTCAAGTTTTAGATTCAATTTGTTGTTTATGTCTGAGGCATCCAACGGTTGAAATCATAAAGGTTATTCCTGTAGTGAGATCTATAGTGAGAAAAACTGGTCTTGGCTTTTTACATGTTTATTCCTGTATGTCAATTATAGAGGTTTTAAGCTATTTCATATTTCATAGCATTTTTCTTTAAAAAGCTCTTATTGGTTTCCTCATACATGGCCAAATAGCAGAAACTAGGCTTTTGTTTTGTGTTTAAAATGCTGTAGTTCCTATGCCTAATTGTTATCCAGTATGCAGAGAGTGATGTAAAGTCTAGCATTCATTCAAAATTGCCTATGTTAGACAATTTTAAAATATCCATGCACGTGGACAATGGATTACCTGCATGCTTATTTTGTGAAACGTTTTCTACGCCAAATTATTTTTCATTTAATTTCCATTTAGAATATTTCTTCTCGTTTTTTAGAGAAAGAATTTCCATATGTAGTTTTTTTTAAAGAATATGTGAACCGTGGAGAGAAACAATTTTGTAATGATCTTTACATAGTATCAAAGAATGTGTAGATTGAAGAATATATTCCATGATTTCTTTCCTTTCATGTAAAACGGAGGAAAAACAGACAAGAAAAAGCTATTTCATGTTTCAAATGACACATCTTGCTTGCTCTCCTTTGCCAAAGCCATTTGTGCTTCAATGATGATTGATTTCAAGAAGGGAATTTTGAAGACTAACAAGGCTTCCCCACTATGCATTTAAGGCTGCCAGAATAACGAGTAAGCCTTCCCACGAAAGTTCCAGGCTTAGCTTTGATCATGTCCTTACTTGAGAATGGTCTGTTAGTCAGCTCAGGTCCAGCTTGTCTGAAAAATGCTCCGTTCATGTACACATCGTTGATTGATCTCCATTGCCAGTTTTTCCACTCTGCCTCTGGTGAGTACTCCCTCTTTGTTATCTTCAACACCAAAGTAGAAAATAATGTGAGACTTGGTTTTCATTCTAGTTTCATAAATTTCATTTATTTCTTTGTTTTGTTTAATCATGTCATTTGAAAGTACAATGAAGAAGCACAATAGTATTTTATAGGGAATCGTAAGGATGCAATTAGTAGCTATGACATGACATCTTAACATTAAGAGTTTAACAAATAAACATGTTTACCAAGCCATGACTAGGACTTTTAAGGCATATATTTATATGCCTAAGCATGGCTCATGAGTAGATGCATACCTCTTTAGCATAGCCGTTGTCGGGGGCTATGAATCGGTTACCCTCGCTTATAATGGTAGGGTGTTTACTACCACCAATGGCATACATTTCCCAGTGAGTGTAGTCATTGTTAAGTACATGGACAAAACCATATCTACACCTTGGCATCCTTTGGATTAGTCTCTTACCAAAGTGGTTGAATGCAAGTGTAATCTGCATTTTCTTATCACCATCATAGCCATCACTTGCACCAAACAACATTACCTACACCACATATACGCAAACAAACAAAAAACCCAAAATCAGGTAATATTTTTTATTTCAAATCCAGTAATAAAAAATCTTTACAAGAAAAAACATGTAAAAGAAAACTACCAAATTACTTATTACCTCGTTGTGATCTGTGAAATGGCCATTGGAGATGGTTATAGCGGTGGATCCCATAATGACATCAATGAGTCCATCTCTGCAGTTTCTCATGGAAACATGGTCAATCCAAACATTGCTGGAGCCAAAAATTGAAATTCCATCACCGTCACTCATAGTCCTTAGACCAAAATGGTTCTCAGCATCTCTAATAAGACCCCCGCTGCCAATTTGAATGTCAAAAATTTTGATCCCATGGATGATCACATTATTGATGAACTGGATAGTAATACCAGCTCCATTAGCAATGATAACATCAGCTCCTCGTCCATCAATGGTCTTGTCACTTGTCATGATAAGTTCTTGGCTGAGCCTAATATTCATGCTACGGGCAAAGGTAATCCACAAAGGTCCATTTCTTGTAACTGCATGCCTAAGGGTACCTGGACGTGGATTAACCATGTCATTATCCGAGGGGTCAGTTATCACATAGATAGGACCAGCTTTTCCACCAGTAGTTTTCCTTCCAAAACCTTTCACACAATCTGCAAGTTTCTGGCGGTTATTTGCCCAGTTAGGATCACACCTCCAACACCTGTCAATGGGGTTTGTAGCCATACATGGACCGGCATTGGCTAGTTTTTTCCCCATTAAATTCCTTCTTCCTTTATTGCCATCAATTATCATTCTGTTTATCAAACCAATAAATATTAAAATATGATATATTACACTTATAACTAATTCTATGAGAGAAACAAAGAAACATGTAATATATAATAGCCATTAAATCATTTAAGTGTTTGATTTGTTTGGGTTAATGTTTCCTGTTTCCATTTTTGTTTTTCTATATGAAATTGCAAAATTGTCTTTTTTGCTTCCACTATGTTTCGTGTTTTCAAAGTTTATGCAGGTATATAGTGAAACCCAAGAGGCAGTTTTGCAATTAGAACAAAAAATCAAAATAAAAACAGAAAATAATTTCTGAAACAGAACATGGCTTGAAATTTCTTCCATGAAATTAAACATATTGGTAAATATGGTAATTGGCACAAATCTCACTCGCTAACACTAGAAGTCATGTTTCCGGAGATTGCATATGGGTCAGAAGCATAAGCCTTGCTGTTTATCTTTTGAGCCGTTTCTGCTCTTGCCCGCCAATAAGTATTATTTAAAGATGGAAATATATTATCCCAATATGACTTTTGCTCTTTGAGATTAGCATTCACTAATGTCGGTATGATTACCACAAAAATAGTCAGAAGGAAGAGATGGTGCAGTTTTGCCATGATGGTTCTCAGGAAAGAACCCTCTTCCTTCTTGAAAAAATAGGTAATAAAAAAGTCTCAATAGAATTAATAATTATTCTTTATATATACATATATGACAGAAACAGATATATATATATATATATATATATATATATATATAGAAGCCAAATTAGGGTGACTCTTTTTTAAGAATAACAGTTAATTTCTGTCTATGAATATATTTAGTGGGTGAAAACTTGCAGTTCACTAGCTTTCTATATATAGAAAACACTACTAATTTCTCTGTCATAATAGCCATCAAGGAGAAAAAAAGGGATATTGGTAATTTTCACCTCACCAAAATAGTAGTGAATCTTACCACCCAAATTTTACTGTCATTTTTATTGCTTGATCCTCCTTAACAAGTGGAAGACGTTTGTTTTTACTAATAGTTTTGCATAGCCATTGCATGATAGGGTGGTGGATGATTACTCATATCTTGAGAACCAACAAATTTTTGTTTATTTAGATTTATAACCAAAACACTTTTGTCATAAAACCATATAACCATTGTGAAATGGTTTCAGGTTAGTTCATATCCGGTTTAAAACTAATTTTTTTTATAAACTGATTTTCATGCATTTATATTTTTAAAACTTGTATCAGTTTTAAATTCTGTCAAAAATAGATAATTAGTTATTCAACTTTATTTACCATCCAGAGTAGAATCAAGTCGATAAAAATATGTTATTATAAGAAGAAAAAAATGTATTAAATATAATAAAATTAAAAGAATATATAATAAACGTTCAATATATTTTTCAAAGAAATACTCTGAACAAATGAAAAAAAAGAAAAGAAAAACTAAAACAAAAATTAAGATGATAAAAAAGGGAGATATATAGTTTTTTTTTATAAAAATGCTTTTATAGTGTTATATATTTTTAATTATTATTTTTAAAACTTTGAATGAAAAATTGATTAAATAGTTTTTTAACATGCTATTTTAGCTATTTTTACATTAATTTAAAGTTATTTTGAATAACTTTTTTATAAAATTATATTTGAGAAACATTATTTTAAAAATGTATTTTTTTCACAATGTTTTAATTTTTAATAATGTATATTTATGTTAATGAATGTCAAAATTAATGATTTAATTCATAAAAGGCATTGTATGTTAAATTTTTTTAGTATTTTATTTTTTTATTTTTTTTTCAAAATATTAAAAAAATATTTTTTTAAAGCAAAACAAATGACTTATGGTTCAAAGCACAAAACAATAATAAAAATTTATTAAGGGCACAAAACAATAATATAAACAAGCCGATCTTGTGCAAATGTAAGCAAGCCTTATGATTCTAAACAGTCTTGTAACAAATATACTTTTCATCTCCAGTAATTTCAGTAATCAAGAGGTGGTTTACTACTTTACTTAATCCTCCAGGAAGATAGAAAAATCACAAATTTCAATCAATAAACAATTTAACACAAAAAGTAACATCAAATATGTAATAGTCACAAATCAATTGTTTTAAACCACTAAAACAGTCAAAACTAACTTAGATCTCTAGGAGTATCATATAAGTTGTAGGAGTGTCATATAAGCTTTAGGAGATACAAATGGATGGTTTAACAGACAATTATCAACGACGTTTCGATGGTGTTTCTTATCCGTGGGAAGATAACAAAACTACATAGGAAGTACCAAATAAACATTATAGCACATAGGTAGCATGCTAGATCTTTTACATATTATGCAGACGACAACATGAGGCTTTCCTCAACAAGGAAATAGTTATTTGTCGTAGCTGCATTATTAATATCATCAAGTTAGAAACAACCAGAGAAAATATTCACATGACTTACCCTCAATTGATACATATTAACAGATTTAGTATAGGTCGACACGTAGAATTTCAAGTCGACTTCCATGGATCGATATTAAAGCTTGTAGCATTTATCCATATGTCGCCTCACTTAGGTCGGCACATGGGCGACACGTAACCTTCACAGGTCAACCTGAGACCTTCATAGGTCTGCCTGAGTATCTTGATAGGCCGACCTGTTGCTTTGATAGACTGACACATATGATTTCCCACATCTTAAAAATTTCATTTTTCTACAACAATTTGCATTACTTTTGCTTATTATTTTTCAGACTTATATATACTCATACATGCACTTTTTTTTCCTAGTATGGTACTAGTGAAATTACCTAAACGAAACCATAATTACAAAGCTTTCCCATCATCTTCAAACTTTTTTTTATGCATACACACAATTAAATTACACGTAATCATTTTTTGATTGGGTGACCATTTAGATTAGGGTTAATAACGTTCAATTAGGTTGGTGTAACCGAGAATATTGGATTGGGATCTTTGTGTGTTTTAAATAAGAAAACTAAGGTGGGATTTTCCTTCAAGATCATTGGAATTTGAAGGTTTTGGAAAAAATCACGTCAACAAGGATTCACCTGAGTTAAGGCCTTGCAAGGTGATTTCCTTGCAAGGGAGTAGCGTGAGACAATGAATCGTGTTTGGGAATCTTGGATTCAACAAGTGCGTGCTCGGGATAATTTATGGATTGTAGCAGCATTGTTGGTGACTTGATCAAGTTTTGATCAAAGGTTTGAAGGTGGTTGAATGAACAACAAACCATAAGGTTTGTGGGATTATAGTTTTTCACCTCTTGTATAAACATTTTTGCAAAGATAAGATTAATTGCAAGTATCTCAATTCGTTTTGGATTGAGGGCAGACGTACCCATAGCGAGGTCGATTGAAAAACTGCCTAAACAAATCTCTCTCTATTGCTTTATCTCTTTAATTGTTGTTCTTGCAAATTATCGATTTCGTTGTTGTTTCGTTAATTCGATTGAAAATTGTTTTCAACTATCTTTTAAAGTCTTGTTGATATAATCATAATCACTTTGATTGTGATTGACTTTTAACATCAACAAAATAAATTGAATTTTCAAACATTATCGATCGCACACAAAGTGTTCGATAAATTGCCTTTGAGTATTTTTATTGCTTTGTGTTCATTGAAAATTAGTTTTACGTATAATTTTGCATTTGATTGATTCGTGAATTAATCGTTGTTGAACAATTCGTGTTCATTATCATTCCATAGGTTTACGTTATGCATATTCGAGCTTTTCGATAGTAGGTTTAGTTAGACGATTCAATTCGGGTTGTTGCCATAAATTTTTGAAAATAAATTTTTGCCAAAATATTTGGTTTTAAATTTGTGATCTATTCACCCCTTTTAGATCAAAGCATATCGTCTAACAAGTGGTATCACGAGCTCCGTTAATTTCGTACTTAAAATTTACTTTTTGAAAGAATGACTACCAAACTTAAGAGAACGTACAATAGAACACCAATTTTTATTGCCGAAAATTATTGTTATTGAAAAACTCTTATGAGCGTAAAACACTTTTATTGTTGAGGAGAAGAGGCAGAATAATTGATATTATTAAATTATAATTATATAAATTAAATTATAAAATATATCTATTTATATACAATTAATTTGTATATTAAGTTACAAATCATAAATACTAATTAATTTTAAATTTGAAGTACACAATTTAAATTATACTCTCAACAATAATATTCATTTTCTAACTCTCAATCTTTCACAATCCAACTTCTTTAACAAATTTTTTATTAAAAAATATATTTCATAATGCTTTAAAAGTTGTACATAAAATTATTCACCAAAGAAAAATATAAATTCTTATGATGTTGTTGAACTGAGATTTACCAATTACTTTGAGGGTATTGAGAACTTAATAGAAAAATTTATACCTACTAAAAAGAATAAAAAATTAGAATTAACAAATATCACAAAAATTAAAAGAAGGTAACATATTGTAAAAGTAATAATAGATTTTATCAATGTACCATTTTAAAAAGGAATGAGAACGATAGAGAATAAGATGAAAAAAAAGAAGAAGAAAATTTATAAAATGTTAATATTCCTACATGTATTAAGGGGTTTTCGATAGTTATTGGGTAGTAATTCATGTGGTTAGTTTGAGATTATAGAAACGATGGAGTTTATTAGCAATTATGAACATTTCTATAAAGAAAAATATATCTTTAGGGTTACATCTACCTTATAGTTTCAATATTTTATTATTAATTTCTCTTTTTTATTTTTAAATTAAAATAAAAAAACAAGTTGTTTATTTGAATGGATATATTATATATTTTAAATATTATAATAATAAATATTATTTTAAAAATTTATTCAATTTTATAGTTTTATTAACCAACATTTTATATTTTATTAACCAATTTTATTTTACTATTAAAATTTATTTTTAATATTTAGATGTTCATTAACTAATTTTATAATTTCATTAATCAGTTTTTTTCCTTTTCATTAATCAATGTTGTTTTATTATTAAAAAAATATTTTTAAAATTCTAGGCGTTTATTAATCAATTTTAATTCTACGTTAGCCAATTTTTTTACATTACATTAACTAATTTCGTTTCCCAACTTAAAATCACAGTTCATACACTATTTACATACTGTTCATTAACCATATTCGAAACTGTATTGACCAACTTAATATACAATATTAACCAACTTTAGTTACGGTTAAGTGTTTACCTACATTTATTCATGATTATTCGTTAAGAATATTCTTAAATGTATTAACCAACTTTTCTCACACTTTAAATCAAATTTATTTACTATTAATTAATTTCATATATTTTTCATAATTATTTATTAACTATTTTCTGATCGGATGAAAAAGATAAAGTAAAAATGGAATAAATTAATATTTTAAAAATCGGACCGAAGATCGAAAAGATGAAACTTACGGTTTAAAGTTCAATTGGTTAAACTGATTAAATCTACGGTCGAACCGTTTATTAAATAAACCAATAATATAAAAATAAATTTCATAGACATGTCACACATTATTATATGTTCAACTTAATAAATAAATATTTCAAAAATCCATTATAAATTTAATACAACAATATCAATAATACATAAAATAATATAGCGTTACACTTTATTTCAACCATCATTTAAAAATATTTTGATCAAACTAAAGAATTACAATAAAATAAATTAAACTAATTCAAAACAAAATTAAAATAATAGAATGTAATAAATAAAATAAAATTCAAATATTTAAAAATACTTAAATTAAATAAGATAGAATACCAAAATATAAATAATACAATATACTTCATTAAATAACAAAAATCGAATTTGAGTTGAATTACGATAAACAAGTCTTAATTGACAACAACAAACAATATTGACTTGAACGACAATCGGTAAAGTTGGACATCGTGACTATATTTGAAAGAGACGACATGATGATGATGATGTGTGGTTGAAAGAAAAACTATAATAGAATGACAAAATTTAGAAGTTTGTATAGTTGTAAAAAACACATGGATTTTTTTTTTGTGATTGAGGAACGTATGTTAAGTTTTGATATTAAAATAATAAAAGAAATTTTAAAAATGGTCAATTTGATGAATTTTTTTGAAACGGACGATTTTACAAAACCGGCTCCGATCCTTTGGTTCGAACGGTTTTAAACGATTCAATCCAGTTTTTCGGTTTAACTCCAGTTTTAACCCATTAGCAGTTTTTGAAAAATTGACCAAATCGAATTCATCTCCAATTTTCGGTCTAACCGATTATACCGGCCGGTTCGATCCAGTTTTTAAAATATTGAAATAAAAATGGTGAAAGAAATATATAAATTAGAAAAGAAAAAAAATATAAAATGTTGGACCCACAATACATAATATAAAAAAGAAAAAATAAAACGACTTAAATATTTAATTGATCGTTTTAGTAATAATAAATAGTATATATACACTGTAGTGTATTATATAATTGATGTCAAAACAACAAAATTGTTTTCACATAGTAGTTCTTCTTTGTGAAGTTTCAAGAAAAAAAAAAGGGTGTAAGATTTAAGGGCGGTGTAAAAACTACATATTGTGGGCACCGTTTTCTAAATCATCTGCATTAAAAAAGAATGTCCAGAAACCGTTTCTAATTTACAGCCATTCAGCTCACATGTAAATTAGACAGATAAGTTTTGTATGAAGGGAGATGTTAGCAACAATATCTCTTAGACTCTCCCTTATAGCAATGTCGTTTTTTCTTTAGTCTGTAATGTGTTACTGGCTCTCCAAAGCAAACTGATATAAAAAATTTTAATTTTAAATTTTATTGGCATCCCAAATATTAAAATTATTTTACTCTTATTACCAATTATTACAAAACTTACTTATGATATGGATTTAAAAATACCAATTTTTTATGATATTTAAAAACATGTTTATCAAAGTGAAAAAGTAATACTCATTTTTTATGAGTAACATTATTAAGTGGGAGATAAAAAATTATTAAAAATAGTGGTCTCAATTTTTTCGAAAGCTATTGAATGGTTTATATGAAATTGGCATTCGACATGTAACGGAGGATCAAACAATAAAAATGACAGTAAAATTTGTGTGGTCAAAATTATCAATATTGCTTATTTTTCTTGCATGGATATTATAACAAAGAAATAAGCATTATTTTCTATTGATAGAAAGTTAGTAATAAACTACAAGTTTTCACCTCTAAATATATTCTAAAAAAAAGACTTCCGCAATTTGGCTTTTCAGTTTATGCCATGATCTCTATATAAAGAGTATCATTATGACAATGGTTATATTGAGACAATTTGATACCCCTTTTCATTTTACGAAGGAAGAGGGGTTCTTTCTATTTGGCAGAGAACCATCATGGAAAAACTGTATCATCTCTTCCTTTTTATTATTTTAGTAGTAATCATACCTACATTAGTGCAGGCTAATGTTAAAGAACAAGATTCATATTGGGATAATCTACTTCCATTCATTAATGATACATATTGGCGGGAAAAAGCAGCAAAAGCTGAAGAAACAAACAACAAAGTTTATACACCTAATCCATATACTGTGACTGAAAATCTTACTTCTGGTGTTAGCGAGTGAGATTTGTGCAATTACCATAGTGACTGATATGTTCAATTTTATAGGAGGAATTTCAAACCTATTTAGTTTGAGAAAATATTTTCGGTTTTATTTTGATTTTTTATTCTAATTGCAAAACTATCTTCCTTTTTTCACTATATATAGACATAGAACTTTCAAAACTTGAAATGTTGTGAAAACAAAGAGAGAATTTTCAATTTTTCCTCATATTATAAGTGGGATCTGTCATATTTTAATATTTTGTTTGATAAACAGAATGATAATTGGCGAAAACTCAAGAAAAAGGAGTCTAGTAGAAAAGACAAAATTAAGAAGAGGTCAACCATGCATCGCGACAAACCCTATTGACAGGTGTTGGAGGTGTGATCCTAATTGGGCAAAGAACCGCAAGAAACTTGCAGATTGCGCGCAAGGTTTTGGAAGGAAAACTACTGGTGGAAAAGCCGGACGTATCTATGTGGTAACCGATTCCTCGGATAATGACATGGTTAATCCACGTCCAGGTACCCTTAGGTATGCAGTTACAAGAAATAGACCTTTGTGGATCATCTTTGCTAGTAGCATGGTCATTAGGCTCAACCAGGAACTCATAATGACAAGTGACAAGACCATTGATGGACGAGGGCACAATGTTATCATTGCTAGAGGTGCCGGGTTTACTATCCAATTCATTAATAATGTGATCATTCACGGAATCAAAATTTTTGACATTTCGCCTGGCAATGGGGGGTTAATTAGAGATGCTGAGAACCATTTTGGTCAAAGGACAAGGAGTGATGGTGATGGAATTTCAATTTTCGGTTCCAGCAATATTTGGATTGACCATGTTTCTATGAGAAACTGCAAAGATGGACTCATTGATATTATCATGGGATCCACTGGTATTACCATTTCAAATTGTCATTTCACCGATCACAATGAGGTAATTTTAGTTACATGCTTTTATTTGTAAAAAATTATTATTTTTGGATTTAAAATAAAAATAATTACCTCATTTTGGGTTTTTTGTTTGTTTGTTCGTGTATATATGGTGTAGGTGATGTTGTTTGGTGCAACTGATAGCTATGACGGTGATAAGAAAATGCAGGTCACACTTGCATTCAACCATTTCGGTAAGAGATTAATTCAAAGGATGCCAAGGTGCAGATATGGTTTTATCCATGTGCTTAACAATGACTACACTCATTGGGAAATGTATGCAATTGGTGGTACCCAACATCCTACCATTATAAGTGAGGGTAACCGATTTATAGCTCCTAACAACCCCAATGCTAAAGAGAGGTATGCATCTACTCATAAGTCATGCTTAGGCATATAAATATATACTTTACAAGTTCTAGTCATGCCTTGTTAAACAAAGAAATGCTGGAACATGACAAAGGACTAAAATAAAATTTATGAAACTAAAATAAATAAATAAAATCTCATGTTATTTTCTACTTTTGTGTTGAAGATAACAAAGAGAGGTGCATCAGAGGAGGAGTGGAAAAAATGGCAATGGAGATCAATCAATGACGTCTATATGAACGGAGCATTTTTCAGACAAAGTGGACCTGTGCTGACTAACACGCCATTCTCAAAAAAGGACATGATCAAAGCTAGACCCGGAACTTATGTGGGAAGGCTTACTCGATTTTCTGGTAGCCTTAGATGTAGACGGAGAAAGGCTTGTTAGTCTTTAAAATTCCCTTCCAAAAATTAAATATCATTTAACATTAACATTCTACATACGAGGAAGTAGACAATAAAATGGTTTCACTGACCATGTCTATGCAATTCTCATTAGATTATGTCATTTCAAAGCATTGCTTGTCTTAGGGATTTTGTTAGAATAAAATAAAATTTTAGATACTCTAGATTGATTGTTAGTATTCCTTACTCATCAATCTTTAAATGCATTTATTATAACACTATTGTAAATACAATTAGTGTGATCTAATTAAACACACTGATCATTTATAGAATTATGTATGATGTAGTGTTTTCTCTGGTTATGTCTCTACAAATTTAATTATATCACTTTTTCCAGTCTTGGGACCAAATGGGTGTCGGTTCAACAAAGTGATTTTTAATTAACATATATAAAGAATATACACATAGTTAGGTCTATCAATATTTAAAAAAATATGAAATTCCATTAAATTAAAACACGTTTTTGATACGTTAAATTCATATTGACATAATAGGTCTCTTTCTTACTTTTCGTAATGACTTTTTTATGATTTAATTAAGTATGCCTGTTTGCAACTCTATACCACTATGTTCTGAAAAAAATGAAAATTTAGATTCAATAATTATAACTTTTTCTATAATATATATATATATATATATATATATATATATATATATATATATATATATATATATATATATATATATATATATATATATATATATATATATATATATATATATATATATATATATATATATATATATATATATATATATATATATATATATATATATTAAGTCTAATGCATCAAATATTATAGCGACATGTCATCAATTATAATTCTAAAATATGTCAAATTAGCTTATTTATATATGGAATAAAATGATCCAAAAAAAATATTTCATTTACTTTTTAAACTCATTCGCACATCACCAATCATCAATTAATTATTCTAATTATATATTTTTTTTTATAAAACTCTTTATTCTATTAATAAAATAATAATAATAATGATATAATATTGTTTCTATTCCTATTTTAATTTCAATTATAAATTAATAAAATAAAACACATAAAAATATTTACATTCTTATTCTAATTATAAAGGGTATTAATAAAATAAAATTGATATAATTATATTTTTTAAATAAAATTCTTCATTCTTTTAACATTAACTTAAAAAGTAAAAAATAAAAATAAAAATCATTTTAATAATCACTAAAATTATAAATAATATACTACAGTGATGATTCTATAAAAAATAAAAAATAAGTTCATTAATAATTACTACAGAGAAAAAAAAAGAAATAAAGTAAAAATAAAATTATTTACTCATATTTTTATATATTACCTAATCAAAACTTAGCTCCAAGGCACCCAAAACTTTACAAGTAACTCGTATTCACGCATTATTTGATGTGATGGAATAATAAGAATTTGATTTTAACATCAGTACATCAACTTGGTAATTTCTATGGATTATCATTTTTTTTCAAAACTCTGCAAACATAACACTAAGCAAAACCATGTTTAGACACAACTTAATCATGGCTTGATATTTAGCCATGTATTGACAAGAATAGCCCAAATCACCCTCGTTTAACTCTCACATTCAAAATAAAACAAGGTTTTTCTTAATCCAATTCTAATTATTGTTAGAAATCAACTATATAACTTGAAATAATCTTTCTAAACAAGTCTCGTAAATGAGCCCTTTCTACCTCTCCATTTGAAACCATTATTAAAGTGTACATTGTTCTTGAACTGGTTCAAAGAAACTTTAGGAGTGACTTTAATGGTTTGCGGTCACTTGAAACCATGAATCGCACTTGAAACTCGCAAACATCTTGTTCATAACATGTCATGAACCTCTTGCAAATTTGGGCCAAAACAAACCTGACTTAAGGATGAGGCCTGAATAATCATCTCTTGACAAATTTATAACAAACTTAACCACCATCTAACTTGGCCAATCACATGATCTTAGGGTCAATTTTGTAGTATGCCTCAAAACACATGGGAGCAAAGTTTGTAAGCAAGTTGAAATTGGATTCAAACTACTTGAAAACCAAATGTTATGCTTTAAAACGGATTCAATCACATGACCCATGCCATTGACCACGTCATAACTGCTTGACCATAAAAATGAAAGCACATCCTTCCATAGGAATTCAATATAACAAGCACCTATAAGACTTCTATAATCTAAATCTTAGAGGATCATGGCCAGAGGCCAGATGATCATCTAAAGGACGACCATGAATCCCTACTTAGTACAAGAGAATGAAAGGGTGGGACAAATTTGGGGTATGACACCTGGAAGATCAGGAGAAGACCGTGTTCACATGCCCGTACGGTATCTTTGCCTATAGAAGGATGCAATTTGGGCTATGTAACGCCCCTACGATCTTTCAGAGATGTATGACATCTATATTCGCCGAAATGCTTGAAAAGCATATGGAGGTGTTTATGGATGATTTTTCTTTTTTTGGTTCTTCTTTTGATATTTGTTTAACTAACTTGTCTCTTGTTTTGAAAAGGTGCCAGAAAACTAACCTCATTCTCAATTGGGAGAAATGTCATTTTATGGTGCAAGAAGGTATAGTGCTTGGCCATAAGATCTCTCACAATGGGATTGAAGTGGACAAAGCAAAAGTGGAAGTGATAGCTAATATCCTACCCCCAGTGAATGAAAAAGGGATTAGGATTTTCTTAGGACATGCAGATTTCTATCGCAGATTCATAAGAGATTTCTCAAAAGTTGTCAAATCTTTGACTGATTTGCTTGTCAAAGACAAACTCATTAATTTTTATGATAAATGTAGGGTGGCTTTTGAGACTCTAAAGAGTATGTCAATTTCTGCACCTATAGTGACAACCCCTGATTGGTCACTACCCTTTGAAATAATGTGTGACATTGTTGTCGGGGCTGTCTTAGGGCAAAGAAGGGACAAATTGTTGCATGTAGTTTATTATGCTAATCATGTCCTTAATCCGTCCCAAATGAATTATGCAACTATCAAAAAGAAGTTGTTGGTCGTAGTGTATGCTTTCGACAAATTCAGGTCATATTTGCTTGGGTCCAAAACTATTGTTTATACTGACCATGCTGCGTTGACGCATTGTGGGCATATAGTCCAAGTTGTAGCGTTACCCACAAATGATGCCAAAGTGGTGGTGCACTTCCTTAAGCACAACATCTTCTCTAGGTTTGGAGTACCGAGAGCTTTAATCAGTGATGAAGGCACTCATTTTTTGAATAAGTTGATGGAAACGTTATTGGGGAAGTATAATGTGTGTCGTAACTGCGAAAAACACCCGACGGAAAACAGAAGAGTCGCCACCTTTCGTTATTTATCCCACAAAGAGGGAAAGGAAACAATCGGAAAAACCTAACGAAAAAGGAAAGACGAGGTCATCGCAACCACGTCTGGATTCGAGAGTCGGTTACGCAAGGGTAAGGTATTAGCACCCCTCACGTCCGTCGTACTCGACGGGATCCACACATTGTTGTCTATCTAAAAGGGTGATCTAAAACTATCTAGCTAAAGGCCAAGGGACAAAAGGAAAAGAAAAGAGACTCGGCAGAGCATCGCCACTCTGTGCCTACGTATTCCCTCGTACAATGGAAAAGTCAGAGTCAACATAGTTCGGCTAACTACGGATGAAGGGGGGAAGGTTGCTCGCCAAGACATCGCGTCTTGTGTATAAGTACTTTCATCTGGTATGAAAGATCAGAGCAAATGTAGTTCGGGCTAAAAATACCACAGGTTGGTTCAAAAGCTTTTTAGGCCCGAGTAGGGTTAACAAGTAGTTCTAGCAGTTGGTGTATGCAGCTCGACCATTGGAAACTTAGGCGTTACTGTTTGCGGTAGAACTAAAAGTTAAAAAACACTCTTTTTAAGAAAGGATTTTCCTGATTAAGATCCCGAATGATGAAAAAGGTTTGAAGTGTTTTTGTGTTTTTTAGAGAAGAAGTGTTTTGAGTTCTATTTGTTCATAATGTATGTTGTGCTAGTTCTAGGCAATTGAGAGGTGGCCCCCCAATCACCATTTCCAAGTATAAGGCTCATGGCACAACATCCATTATCTTTATTAGGTATGTTAAGATTGTTTGAAGATGAGAAGAGAAGAAAGGACCACTAATGGGAGATTAGTTCAATCCTAAAAGTTATCATGCAAAGTGGACTTAAAGTTGGGATACAAAAGGGAACTACCTAATGTTATCATGCATGGTTAATCACCTAATGTCTATCATAACCTCAAAAGGTTAGAGAACTTATGGGGAACATGGCAAAGGAGGACAAAAGAAGGAAGAAGCAAACACGAGTAAGATGCACACATAAATTACAAACATGCAAAGAGGGAGGAAAGGAAGTGTGGGGCAGCAGCCGCCACAAGCGTGTCTCGACCTCTTTGGAGCAAATAAAAATGCAAAACACAAGGTGAAATACACATGCAAAGATAAGCAATATGAACATGCAAAATGCAAGAAGAAAATGAGAGGATGAGACATAACAGGAGAAGACAAGCCTCTACAACCGTCGGCTATCGATCATCGGAGACAAATGGGAGGAAAAGAAGTGTGGGACAGCAGCCGCCACAAGCGCATCTCGACCCTAGTTTTTCGCTCAAGCAAACAAGGATGAACATCACATCTAACCACATATACAAATATGCATTCAAGTGGAAATCAAACAAAACGAGTCGACAAAATTAGGATCAAACGATCAAGAATAGCGACATATATACCAAATATCACACTCCTAATGCACCACACTGGTCTATGATGATTCGAAGTGGAACGGTATGCGAAAACACCTTGACAAACATCAAAACAGGCCCACTGTTACAGTGTTAATTGGTTAACCCCTGGAGTTAATCGGTTAACACCTTAAAAAGTTTGAAAAATCTGGCATTTTGAACAGGTTAATCGGTTAACCATATGCGTTAACTGATTAACACTGTTAACGTTTGAAAAAAATTTGAAAGTTTGAAAT